AATAACAAATTTAAAAATAAAATATTTAAAAATAAAAAAAGTAATAAAAGTCGTGCCCACACCCTTGAAATTCCACACAGTGCTGTGAGTCCGTGCGGGAATCACCCGGGAGAACCAGCCCTTCCCGTCCCAAGAACCGCACAGCTCGGAGAGAGGGGGGGAAAAGCTGAGCGAGAAATGATAAGTAAATTACAGCCGGGTGTCCGCGACGTCGGGGGCAAGGGACGGAGGGAGCTGCACAAAAAAAACCCCCTTCCCTCCCACCCTTTATTATTTTTTTGTATTTTTCGCCTTTAATTTTTATGAAGTAGTTAACATTTGGTAGCACATGTCCTATCTGCGCGGCGTGGGAAGGGGATTAAATGTTAAAAATGTAAAGATTTATGGTAGGGGTAGCAGAGGCGGAGCGGGGGCTGCGCGGAGCGGAGCAGAGCAGGCAGGGCTCGGGCCCGGGGCCCCCCGAGGAAGGCAGACAGAGCGACAAATGACAAACGACAGCGAATTGGGCTGGCAGGTTTGAGGAAGGGCATTTCCACTCCGCATCCCGGGGAAATAGCGGTTTGATGGAACGCTGAGCGCTGTAGTTCAGTGGGTCAGTGCGGGCTGAGTGGCGAAAATTAGGGGAGGGGGTGAAAACAAGGGAGAAAGAGAAGGAAAAGAGTGAAAAAGAGAAAAGAACAAGGGAAAAAGAGCAGAAAACAGGAGAAAAAGAGAAAAGAACAAGGGAAAACAGAGCAGAAAACAGGAGAAAAAGAGAAAAGAACCAGAGAAAAAGAAGAAAACGAGAAATAGAGAAAAGAACGAGAGAAAAAAGAAAACAAGAGAAAAAGAGAAGAAAACAGGAGAAAAAGAGAAGAAAACCGGAGAACAAGAGAAAAAGAGAAGAAAACAGGAGAAAAAGAGAAGAAAACAGGAGAAAAATAGAACAAAACAGGAGAAAACCAGAAAAGAACAAGAGAAAAAGAAGAAAACAAGAGAAAAATAGAAGAAAACGGGAGAAAACCAGAAAAGAACAAGAGAAAAAGAAGAAAACAAGAGAAAAAAGAGAAGAAAACAGGAGAAAAAGAGAGAAGAACAAGAGAAAAATAGAAGAAAACAGGAGAAAAAGGTCTTTTCCTAGAGGTAACAGCGGAGAAAAATCCCACTTAAAGGGTGGTTTCCTGGGGAAGGGTCCGCGGCTGGGAAGGGAGGAGCAGGCTCGGGGTGCAAATGTGCAAACCCACCCTCAGCTCCGAAACTGAGTATTTCATTTCGAAAATGCTCCTTTTTTTTTTTTTTTTAAATTTTTTAAAAGTAATTTCTTTTCCTTTCTCGGCTTTTGAGGGGGGCTGGGGGGTGACGAACCCAAACCAGCTCCGGGATGTTTACATGTGGAACCGCTTAGCAGAGTGGTACCCGTACATAAAAAATAGGCAGAGGGGAAGGAGCAATTAGAAAGAAGAGCAGATGTGAGACCCGCTCCTTAGGTTGAGGCTGTGGGGTTTTTTAATAGCATTTTTGTTTCCCGAGCCCTTTTTAAAGCATACTCTTCCTCTGCTTGTGCATTTATAGAAAAAGCCTGGAAGAGCACGCATCGCTCCAGCACCATCCCCGAAGCACCACATCTTCAGGATTGTTTTTTTTTTTAAATTAGGGAAATAACAGGGAATACAGACAAATATCAAATAATATTGACTCATAAGTTCCTTTTTCTCATCCTCCCGTCAGCTCTAGGCTTGCAGATTGCTCTCGAAAAAGGTTTTATATGGATATTTCTGAGGGGAGCGGTTCCCTCTCCGTCAACCAGCGGGCTCCGAGCAGAAAGAAGCTGGATTTTCTTCTTCTGAGGACAGCTATGGCTTTGCTTGTTTTCCCTTCCCTTTCTCTGCCTGCTTGAAGACAGACCCTGGGAGAAATTCAGTATTTATTTCTTTATTTTTATTCCAGCTCTGCTGAGGAAGAGACAAACAGATTCATCTCTGAGTACATGGGAAAAAAAAAAAAAGAGATATATCCTTGCGTCGTCCAGCTCTGTTCTGCTCTGAAAAACTGCAGCGTTGTTTCTCCTTACCTTACCTCCAACATTTTAGCTGCTGGTTTTTAAGGCGGTTTTCTACCCTCCCTCCTTTAAAGTAATTTTCTTTATTGCCACTCTCCCCTTTAAAATAAAAAAACCCCACGGAATTTCAGGGCTGAACTCAGTTTTGCAGGTGGATGTGTGTTTTCAGCCGGAGATGCTGAGCCAGCCAATAAATTGCGTTTGTTAAAAAGCAAATTTGTCTTGTAGAAATTCAAGGTGAACTCCGAAAAAGGGGGATTTCTGCCCCGAACGCGTGAAGGTGACCGTTGCCCTGAAAATACCAGCGTGTCCGTGGCCAAACACCCACCGAGCGCGTTGGCGCAGGTCTGACGTGGTGCAGGGTCAGGCGCTGCCTCTCCAGGCCAGGGAAATCTCACCCAAAAGAACATTCACCAGCTGCGGGATTTTAGGATAAAATCCCTTTTTATTATCTGCGTACGCTGGAGAAAAACATGCAGGCTGGGTGAGAATACAGAAAAAAGGCAAATCCTTCATTTCAACTAGGGGAGAGATGAAAATAATTCACCGCCAATCTGCGGCACAGGGGTATTTTTCCTTTCCTTTTTTTTTTTTTTTTCCTTTCTTTTAACCTTACTTCCCCCTCTTTTCCCCCTCGTTCTTGTCTGAAAGATTTAGAAATCCCCCCTCGGTACTCCATTTTCCGGAGGAAAAATTGTATTTACAGTTCTTCCCACCTCCAGGCATCTCACGCACGAAGGAGAATGGCCAAGGTATGGGATTTATTGGAGGAAAATCGGCTCCAGCCGCTGTTGGTGCCTCTGCAACGCCAGGCACCCGCACAGAAAAACCCCTACCTAGATTTGGAAAGAAAACTTGCTTTTCCATTGCCTTTTTTTTTTTTTTTTTTTTGGTTGGGGGGGGAAAAAAGGAATTTTAGCTCTGGAGCCCTCAGGGAAATTAAAGCCCGCGGTATGAGAAAGTCGGAGACCAACACAGAATTTTCCCACTGGAGTACCAATTTAGTGGAGAAACTATTCCGCTAAATCTCATATTCTCGCCGAGGAGTCCAAGCAAAGCTTTCCCAGGCTTGGTTCAAAATGTGCTTTGGATAAATAAAAGCCAAAGCCGACTTCTTTGCTCTGGAGCCCTCAGGGAAATTAAAGCCCGCGGTATGAGAAAGTCGGAGACCAACACAGAATTTTCCCACTGGAGTACCAATTTAGTGGAGAAACTATTCCGCTAAATCTCATATTCTCGCCGAGGAGTCCAAGCAAAGCTTTCCCAGGCTTGGTTCAAAATGTGCTTTGGATAAATAAAAGCCAAAGCCGACTTCTTTTCCCAAACTTTGCGTGCTTTTTATTT